TGTTATCCTTATGTTTGCTTGTGTTGTGGTTGGGTTAAATTTACAGGTCGGTCTTTGAATCAGGGGGCGGATCCAGGATTTTCCTCAGGGAGGGGTGCGGGGCACTCAGGAGGGGGTGCATGAACCCCACAAAAATCATTATCATGAAGATAAAAAATAAGGAAAGTATTGAAGGATACAAGCTTCAGGAGGGGGTGCGCAACCCCTGCACCGACCAGCTGGATCCCCCCTGTGAATTAAGTACGACAAATTTTGTACCATTTGACCGTTTTCCTGTTATATTGTTTGATTCTATATTATTGTGTTTTCCTGGCTTACTCTCTAGTCTGCAATGCACCGCTTGGTTTAGAATCAGGAACCATTCCAAACAACAGGATCTCTGCTTCCTCCTACTACGTTGTTCAAGCTGGTCACGAACCATGGCGAGGACGACTAAGAATGACACAGGGTTCAGGACATGTCGGCAGCTGGGAACCTAAAAACAGTAAAGCAGGGGAATATCTGCAGGTGGATTTTGGTAAAATTTGCCGAGTTACCAAGGTAGCAACTCAAGGGAGACCAAATCATTTTCACAGGATTACCTCATATAATCTCTCTTATGCTCTGAATGAAGGGACCTTCACTGACTACAAGGTTGGCGGAACACTCAAGGTTAGTAAACCTTGTTTCCAGCAGATATTCTTGTTATTTTTTGTTGATCAGTAAACACTGTGAACATAAATTAAGCATTCCTTGGTACGTTTGGTAACATATTTTGTAGATTATTCGAAGAGTGCCCAATGTAAGTTAGTTTGTTTTTTCATTGATCGAGTAAAAAATCCTTTTCTACAGGTCTTCTCTGGGAACACTGCTGACGCTGAGACTATCGTGACGAACGTTCTTCCAGTRCCAATCAGGTGTCGCTATATTCGATTTGTTGTCGTTACATTCTCCTCTCACCCTGCCATGAGAGCCGAGGTCTACGGTTGCCCTGAGAACTGACACGATGATACTGACATCCAATTTGAGGTCAAGGAGAATCGCCAGTAGATTAAATCAGCTAGTATACACCGCACCTAGTCCAGAAAATAAATAATATTAACTAATTCATAATTAAAGTAATTCATAATTACTGCAAAATAATGCTTGGATACTTCAGGAAATAATATACGAAAGCAGCATTTGTGTGAATTTGATTTCTCACAAAGATTATTATATAAAGGCAAATTAAATGCATGTAATTGCATAACTAATTCATAAATAAAAGTAGTTCATAATTAATGCAAAATAGTGCTTGGATACTTCAGGAAATAATATAC